AAGCTTTGAGCAGCAAATTTTTGCTCTGGGCACTTTGTGTTATGTAAAGGCAAGAAGGAGATCGGAGATCCGGAATTGCAGGGATCAGGAAGGTTTATTGGGGAGATCAGTTCCTCTTCCCAGATGATGAGGGACAGGGCAGGTGTCCCGAGTGGGACCTCCCGCTTGGAGATGTGGAGCAGAGGAATAGAAGCGGCGCGCTGGAATCGGAGTCTGGGTGCGTTATCCAGGGTCGTTTCTAAGGGGATCATTCCGACAAAGAAAGACAGGAACAGGTAACACGAGGCTGGTGACGATGGACAGGTAAGTCACGGACGGGAGCGGGTCTAAGGAGGGAAGGTAAGGAGGCAAGGATCACACACCAGGACGACAGGTAAGGCAGGGAGAAGAGGGTAAACGAGAGACAGGTAAATTGCTTGGGAAGGCACGGAAACATCAGCTCAATACTTCGCAAGGAGTACTGGTGCTTGTTCTGCTTTTAAAACTGGGCTAATCTGCTGTGGATGAGGTGCACCTGTCTGACCCCGCCCCCGTGGGCGTGACACTTTGACTCTGTGCTGCATGACCTCTGGACCGACTGGCTGATACCCGCCTTGACTCACGTTCTGGCGACCCTGGGTATCCAAGCTTCCTTCGGCAGGTTGGAGGGGACCGTGGAAGCTATCCTGTACGATCTACGCGAGGCCTGCGATGGAATGCTGAATCAGTTGACTGGAACAGGATCTGTTTGAACAGAACCCTGTGCTTAAGCGATCCTGGAAGAAGAATTTTTGACTCGTTGGGAGGCCCAAGACTAAAACAAAAAAAAAAAAAAGCAACTTGTGATGGGGAACGGTATCGGTGGTGCCTTGCGGCGGTTTATGTTAAATGTTTTTTTTTTAGAAAAAGTTAGTCCTTTGTTGCATGCTATTGATAAAAAGAAAAGCGATTGTCGGGATATGGATGATTATGCTTGTTGCTGCTTTCATAGACTGATATTTGAGATTGAAGTCGGAGAAAATTATCAGCGGGGAATAGTTTTACATAGCTGATGGGGGAGAGAGAAGGACAATCACCCGAAAATCTCATTGGCGCGTGTCTATCTTGTATTCCCGACGATGAATTTGACTGTAATCACATTTTTGAATTTTATGCTTTAATCGCAGATGTACTTGCCTTTAAATTTCATAATAAGCAGCCTATCGATGTTAATCAGATGCTTTCTACTCTGCATACATGTATTGCTGAAAAGGCCACTATACGGACCTTACTGCATGTGACATCGCTAATCTACCTCAACAACTGTCACGGCTGTAACTAAATGGTATACCCTTGTAATAGCATTTTTAAACTATATCTTTCACTAAATGTATACCCTTGTAATAGCATTTTTAAACTATATCTTTCACTAAATGTATACCCTTGTAATAAAATTTAGTTGAATAGCTTTGTAATAGTCTTTTTTAAATACCGAGTGGTTAAGGCGCTGGACTTAAGATCCAATGGATCTTAAACATTCACCCCAGCTAAAACTCTTTTTGTAAACTCTACACAGAAAACACACATTTCATTGTTGTGTGTCTGTGTGTGTCAACATTTAATCACTAAACAAACCTGCATATAAACCCCCCCTCCCCAGACAGCTATAAAACGCAGCATCCTCGCTCTCACCCCCATTCGCTGTGTGAAAAGCATGTCTGTTGCCTACAGCTCGTGTCTTCAGCCATACATACTATGACCCCAGCCACCCAGGGTCATACGGGGCTGCCTCCAGACTGCAGAGAGCCGTGGAGGAAGATACGGGGAAAAAAGTGGCTACTGATGACATCAGAGAGTGGCTGTCTATGCAAGACAGTTATACTTTACATAAGCCGGCTAAAAAGAATTTCCCCAGAAACAGAGTGTTTGTACCGAGAGCCATGTATCAGTGGCAGGCCGATTTATGCGACATGCAAGGGCTGGCGACGTACAAAGATGGGTTAAAATATCTCCTTACGGTGATTGATGTTTTTTATAAAAAGGCCTACACGCGTGCGGGTGGCTGTAACGGAGGCCTTTGATTCTATTTTAACTGAGGGGGGTGTACTATTAAAATGAAACCTTCCGAAGTCACGACCGATAATGCTCATCCAGTATTTGATAATCTATACGGTCCTCTGAAGAAGAAAAAAAGCAGACGGCCACATTTTAAGTTTAACATAGGGGACACTGTGAGAGACTCCAAGCACAGTCAGATATTTGACAAAAAGTATGAGCAGACATTCACGGACGCATGCGAACGTGTGCCCCGGTGTATAAATTGAGGGACGTGCATGGTGAAATACTTGAGGGCACATTTTACGAAGTGGAGCTGCAGAAAGTCAAAATATCTCCGAAACGTGCGTTCAAGGTCGAGAAGTTTATAGGCTCTAATACTGACGAAAAGGTCAAAAAGTGGATTTTAGTACGCTAGCAGGGTTGGCCCTCGAGGTTCGTTTCGTGGATACCGCAGTCGGACTTGATACGGATTTAATTTTAATTTTTTTAATTTAAAAAAAAAAATGGAGGATCGCCCCTCTTTTTACCTCACGCTACCGTCAAACTCTTGTCTCTCCATCTTCCCCAATAACCAGAGTTCGGATTACACTGTGATGCTGTTGCGACCTATACAGCTATGGGGGCCTTACGAAGTAGGACTGGCTGAAATCATGTATTGTTACACATGGCGAAATATTACATACCCGGAAAATACTCTTGAATTGCGGGACACGGAGGTGGAGGCAAAAAGAGAGACCGATCCTTTAGTAGATTTGCCTTACCTTTTCCCTCGGAAAATTAAAGTCGGATATTATGAATCCGTTTCACAGATTGTGTCCGAAATCAACGCTTCGTTAAAAAAATTAGGTACAATATGTTAGGTACAATACAGGATCAAATTTAAACCTACTCTGGCCCACATGCTGGACTTTGAGCCGGGTCGCTGGTATAATGTAGGAGGTACCGCGTCGACCGCACCCTACCCCGCTGACATTCACGCGGGATTCTATAATATGTACATCTACTGTAACATCGTGGAACCGCAGCCGGTGAACAAGCAGAGCCTGCAGAATTTGCATATTGAGATAAAGAACGATTAGAATACTCTGATTAATTTCTCCTACGGAAAAACGATCGTCAAGCTATACTTTCGCCCCATGTCAAAGATCCCCGTTTAAAAAAAAAAGAGAGAGAAAGTGCAGGTGGTGGTGGTGGGGGGCAGCATGGCGTACCACAATTCGCAAAGACTTATTCAGTATTACACCAGTCAGGCGGGGCATGGGCTCCCCGGTTTTGCGGGGCCCCGTGATGTATGGGCTTGGGTTGGGCTCCATGCTCAGTAGGGCTTTTAGATTTGTTTTACCCATTCTTAAGCGCGGGGTTGATATAGTGAAACCTCATTTGAAATCAGCGGCCAAAGGAATAGCTTTGGATCTCGCCGGCTCTGTAGTCAGTGGCCGTTTTACAAACACCGGTGACCCCAAGCAGGAAGGGTTGGGTCTGCTGCTGCTCTCTCAGAGGGGGAGGAGGAAGAGAGCCTCAGCGCCTTTACTCAGGCAGCACGGTCATAAAAAACCTCGCAGCAGAGCCGTCAGGATTCCCAAGTCTCGACCTCCAAAGAGAAACAGGAACCCCCCCGGGGACATACTTTAAGAGAGAGAGCATAAGGAAGAATGGCTCTAGCTCACCGCCTCTCGGCAGAATGCACCAAATCTGAGCTGGACCTGTTTGCGGCCCCTAAGACGCAATTATCCATAGATCAGACCAATTATGTAGAAATCAACCCATTAAATTACATTACCGATCAGGATGTTTTGGATTTCCTAATACCGGGGTCGGGCAATTTCTATCTGGACCTCAACTCTACATTGCTATATCTAAGGCTCAGGATCGTTAGGGCGGACGGAGCCCCCCTGGTTGATGCCGACCCCTGCGGTATTATACAGTACCCCCTAAACTGTATATTCTCTCAGCTGGATGTGAGTCTGAACGACGTCCTGATCAGTTCTTCGTCGGCCAGAGACCCTGCTCAATTTTTCTACCGATACGCTAGAGAGTCAGTTTTCGGCAGGGCTCTGGTACAAAGACGTCGGAGCCGACTTGGATAGCGTGGACATCACCCCCCAGGGCCCTAACGTGGGGCTGCAGAAGCGAGCTGCCTTCTGTAGAAACTCACGGGAATTTTCTCTGATTAGCCCTATACACGCTGATATTTTTTTCAGCGAACGAATGCTGTTAAACAATGTGGATATACGCTTAAAGTTTGTAAAGGCTAATAGTCTCGTGTAGAAATGACGCCGATTATGAACTGAAAATACTGAGGGCCAGCCTGTTTGTGAAAAAAGTGGACGTCTCCATGGCGGTGTCACTGGGTCACTTGGCCGCTCTCATGAAATCAAACGCCCTGTACCCCATAAGCAGGGTAGTCGTTAAAAATTACACGCTGCCCACGCAGTCGCGGGTCTGCCCGCCGGACAATCTTTTCCTGGGTAACTTACCGTGCTACATCGTTTTGGGGATCGTGGACCATGCCGCATTCATGGGCATGCGAAACAGAAACCCATTCAGGTTTCAGCATCGCGACCTCGAATTTCTGAGCCTCTGTAAATGGCCGACACATACCCAGCTAACCGTTCCAGCTCGATTTTAACGCGAGGCAGTCGGTCAGAGAGTTTTACAACCTTTTCCTGGCTACAAACAGGCATTTAAGGGATTTGATGCTATGCATTAACCGTGAGGATTTTGAAAACAGATACTCGCTATTTGCTCTCAATCTCTCCCGAGACGACGAGCTGGTCGGTAGTGCCCTGTCACCCGTCATCAGTGGCACGTGCCGTCTGGATTTAAGGTTCAGAGCCCCGCTACCTCGAACCATGAGTCTCATCGTCTATGTCTGCTTCGGCAGCGTGATTGAAATAAACTCCAAGAGACAGGTTTTGGTGGACTTTTAATCATGAACACTCACCAGCTGGAATGCTTTTTACAACCCCTGCTGGGGGATGCTTTTGGAGGTGTGTGGCCTAGCAATTTATTACCCACCTGCATAGAGACAAGGCCCACTTTTCTGGTCGCAAACACGCACGACCGCAATAGAGAGGGTGAACACTGGATCGGGATAATTTTGGAGCCCCAAGAGGGGAAAGCCTCCTTCTTTGATTCTTACGGTTATCCCCCCGATTCCCCTTACTATCCTAAAAGTTTTATGCGCTTCTTAGGGAGGCACGCTACCGAAATAAGGTATAATACGTCTCAAGTTCAACACGACTTTTCCTCCACGTGCGGGGCCCACGTCACCTTTTTCCTCTACCAGCGCTTCAAGGGACTTTCATTTCAAGAGACTATGATGCTGTACTCTAACGACTTGAGGAAAAACGACGCTCTAGTATCCAAGTTCATCAAGAAATATTCAAAGTGTATTAGCTGTGTTAATAAACTTTCAAAGCCGCAAAATGTATGTTCCTTAAAACTTTTTAAAGATTGTTATAGTTGATAGATTAATGTGGGGAAAAAATAAAAACCTGACACGTTTTATTCAATAAAAAAAAAACATTTTATTAATCATCTTTTTGGCGTTACAGGCATTTTGTTTTTTTTCCACACGCGTAAAAGCACTTAATCACTGTAATCTATCCACCCAGGAGCATAAGGGGTACCCTTTAAAGGCCATAAACGATATTCAGGGGAGGAATCGCGCGGCGTGTGAGGGGTACCCTCAAGCCCCGGAGAGATGTCCGTACGAAATTTTCCATGTCTCTCGCGCTTTTCAGAGCAGCAGCAGTGGGGGACGAGGTGTAATCTTTAAGATGGCTGAGGGCTTTCCTGGTTTGAATATTACCGACGGTCGTGAGGGGGATGTTTAATTCGGATATTACGTTTAAAAAGGGTTCCCAGCCTTTAGGATATCCGACGGCCTGGGATTTCGGCTGGGATAAAGTTTTCATCAAATCCAAAATATGGGAACCTTTAATTGAACAGAGCTTGACTTGATACCGGCTAAAACATTTCCATAAACTTGGACAGAATAAACACCACTTGGACACTGGATGCGGTGAGGACACTCAATCTCTTGTTTATTGGTCTAGGTGCAGCTTAAATAGGAAATCACATGGCATGGTCACATGACAAACACACCTGAGAGTAATTCACAATAATTGGGAGCACACCCATTAGCCAATCAATCAATTAACAGGGTCTATCTCTGATGATGAGTTCACCCGACTGGGTCCAACGTACGGCCCCGTTGGAATCAAGCAGTTTCTGCATGATGTACCCCACATTCTTTCTGGCCCTGGGAATGTCGTATGACATTCCTCTAAGACCAGGAATCATTCTTGTAGCCCTATGTTGAACCATTTCCAAGGCAGCAATGTCCTTTTTAAGATATGGTGACCAAACCTGCACACAATATTCTAGGTGAGGTCTCACCAAGGAATTGTATAATCTTAGCATTACCTCCCT